CCGGACCCTGCAACATTTTGAGTTTGTTTTTAGTCATCTTTCTATTTTGACCAATGAGCTGTGCGAAATGACAATGCCTTCGTCTTTGAAGATAGAATCGTGTTGAATTCATCTAATTCTTGCCAAACATGAGTCGTATTCATATTAAAATTTGACAATTCTCCTACGCTCAGGCTTCAATTGTAATGTTGAGTAATGGCAATTACATCAGTATTGTTCAACCTCTATGAGAACCCTTTTTAATTTCTGACAAATTCCTTAAAATAGTCCGGGTTGCAGTTCAGATGCATGAACAGTTGAACAGTCCCTTATCTCGAAGGAACTTATCATTCTCAATCGTGCTATTGCATTCCCGCACAAAGCCTGCTGCTTATGTAGCAATTTCGAGGGGGTACAGCAATAACGATTCAGGGAGCATCTAACATGAAACGCATTGAAAGAATATTGTAAGAACATCGCAATAGCAGTTCAGCTCAAATGCTATCACTCGATCGCCATACAATCGCTCTTTTTCTTAAGGGGTCAAAGGAAGATGGGATAAGATGAGCAGAGCCCGCGTTTCAAACTAACTCACCTCTGTCCTAGAGTGCATGATAACAACAAAAGATGAAGTTTATTTTTAACGACATCAGCTTGCAATCCTCGTTCTAACTACTTTGGAACCCAGGTATCTTTCATGAAAACAATACGTAAATGAGTGTTGAATTAAATATTTAGTTACTGTCAAACAGTAATTAATCTGGAAAGTAGAAGGTGGGTATCACTATGGAATAGTTTCTACTGGAACTCTGTATTTCGTTTCTGTAATTGATTTTAACAGAGCACTTGGTATTCGGATGTAGTCACGATTGATAAGGACAAGCATCATTTGATTCGATAAGCTGGTGGATGGATCTTACATGAAGTAGTCTGAACTGGAATTTAATTTTTCTCATTTCGAGTAGCAGAAACTCATACTACGCCTCTCGAGAACTTGACATCATTAATGTGTGGCAACTTTCATATGCACACTACAAGTGGCTGCTCGAGGTACAGAACCTTAAAAGGAAAGTGTGTATCGGAAATGCTCCTACCACTTAAAAAATAAATTATTACGAACGATAATATTATGGCAGCGTATAAAAAATTATAAAAGGGGAACAACTAAAGTTCCTGCGGTTTTTCTTAACTCAGTGATCGTTTTCGTTACACTAGTTTTCGAATTTGAGGCGCGCACTGATTCCAATCCATCGGACCACAACAATCTATATCGAAAACGGTAGATTTAATACATCCGCCGCGCGAAGTCAACGGTCCTTAAGGTCCAAGACTAATCGTATTGCAGCGAAATACAGTCTGTGGCAAACAGTTCTGTATTCAAATTGCGTTTGTTTTATTACCAGAGAGCAGGCACTCAAGAGAAGAAGGAAAAGTGTGTCTTTTCTTTATATGAGGTTGTCTCGAGAGTTCCTGCGTACTAAATTGGATGGACTATGCTTTCTGGTCATAGCAAATCTGCACAAAACGACTCGCTCTCTAGCAATCGCAAGATTCGCCGAGCATATTTCTTCGTTCTTTCGGGAAATTATTGAAGTTTGGACTGTAAATCACCCATCAGTTGACCAGCTTTTGAAAAGCACTGTCTACAAACTCTCTTACACTCCCGTCAAGTGGGCTGAATGGACAGTGTTATCAATGGAACGGATAAGTGGTATCTTCACGTGGGTTACAGAAGGAGCAACAGTGGCTGGATGGATGGGAAGGGAGGGGCTGGACCGGTTTTGGGGCCTGTGATTTTTACCTCCTAACGCCGCTCCAACGCCTAGCTAATCTCTGTAGTCAGCTACAAATTTCAGCGGAAAAGCTCTTGCTAACTTCTCTGAAACTCGACCGGGTGCACTGTTCCACGACAGTGCAAGAACATATGTCTCGAAGAGAACGAGAACTGAGACTCATCTGGGAGATTGTACGCCACCCTGCATATGTACATCCGCGAACCCGTCCCACTGTGACCGATTCTTGCCCCATGGCCGCCATTTTGTGGACAAGGGATAAGACATCTTGGAAGATCTCAAAAATGACATGACTATCTTTTTCAGCTCAATGTAGTAGGACTACTAGAGGCGAAGCATCCGCTACTCGTCTTGTCGTTAACTAAAATTTGTAGATAGCGATGATGCATATGATGTGTATTGATATTACATTTTTGAAATAGGTTGTATCAAATAATTTTTGAAATACGAACGATTTTTGAGTCATCATAAGGTTACTGTAATGTGAATAATAAACATTACAAAATAATCGAATCGCCTCTTACAAGCAGATGAAAACTGACTTAAATTAATTTATTTTTTAGTTTATTGACAAGCAAATTGAATGTTTAATGACGAAGAATATTTCAGAGTATGGTTCCATCATTGATGTTGTCAGTCCTTTGACTCTTCTTTTTTACGGGAAGGCGGAACATAGTCTTTTAGCAGGTCGACGGTGCATCTGAAAACTTCTTATTGCACAAGAAAGTTTTCAAATGTCGTTTTCACTATGTAATTTTGCAGTCAATTTATGTCTAGATTGTGTGCACCTTTGAACGGAGCTTTCCACTGTAAAATGGTATTACGAATGTATGGAGATGCTTGGCCTGATTCAGCTGAATTTCATGACGTATATAAAGCGACATGAAGCGACACAGTTCAAAGCGATATTCTGTATTACAAAGTGATCCTTTAACCGCTCATACAGCTTGACATTTTCATGTTCTCATAGATTCAAATTGTACACGTTCTCATAACCTTAGCATTCTACATGTTCCCATTGCCTTAACGCTTCTGTATAAACAAAGGCTCCTTCGTCTTTCGGAAATCGAAAACATTGATATGATAGACATATAGGCTCGCTGCCGCGAGAATGCTCCTCAGTTCAGCCATTTCTCGTTGGATCAGCGTGCAAGTGCCTTCAGTGCTTCCATCAGTGCTTAGGTGCTCATGTTGGTGCCATCTGGTGCTATTTGGTAGACCTCTAGCTCTTCTTGATGACCTTGGATCTCTTGTAATCTCTTTTATCCATATCTTATTCGCATTACCTATTGTGCCTTGCTTTGTGCCATTGATGATTACTCGCCACTCGTTTTAATTCGCTTGTTCTCGTTGTTTTACTTGGTTTAATTACCTAAGTTTGAGGAGTGCCAATAAAAATATCGCGTGGCAAAGTGTTCCATCACATGGTGCATCGGCCGTGAAACGAACCCGGGCCGCCAGCGTGGCAGGCGAGCATTCTACCACTGAACCACCGACTCGAAGAAGAAATCGCAGAATTGAGCAGAGACATCCGATCCATCCGACAGCGACCCCAACGAATAATTGCATAGATCACCGAAATGACAGAAGAAGAAAGGTTCTTGCGCTACTCGTTCTGTAAACGAAAAGGACTCCATTACAGCGACAACTGCCCAGTGGTAAGCACTGTGGGGGAGCGCAGTAAACGAGTCTGGTGCTGTAACTGTTTGAACACCTTACATTCGACGGAACAATGTTGGCGCAAAAGAACAATGTGCAAATACTGCTCTTCTTGGAAACATCACTGCGCACTATGTGAGTCACCGGAAAGAGCAGTGCGCATGGAAGCAAGGCTCAGGTCATTGCAGCAGGAACTGGAGGAGTTGGAATAACGATATGGTGGACCTCCACGTTAATAAGCTGGCACGCAGTATCACAAAGCGATCCCTCAACCGCTCATTAGCTTTACCATTTTTCATGTTCTCATAGATTCAAATTGTACACGTTGTCATGACCTTAGCATTCTACACGTTTCCATAGCCTTAACGCTTCTGTATAAACAAAGGCTGCTTCGTCTTTCAGAGATCGAAAACATTGATATGATAGACATACAGGCTCGCTGCCGCGAGAATACTCCTCATTTCAGCCATTCCTCGTCGGATCAGCGTGCAAGTGCTTTCAGTGCTTCCATCAGTGCTTATGTGCTCATGTTGGTGCCATCTGGTGCTATCATTGTGCCTTGCTTTGTGCCAATAATGATAACTCACTACTCGTTTTAGTTCGCTTGTTCTCGTCGTTTCACTTGGTTTAATTACCCGAGTTTGAGGAGTGCCAATAAAAATACCGTGTGGCAAAGTGTTCTATCACATTCTGCCTATGTTCAAGAAAATATCAGTTGAGCCACTGTGCTCGAAATAAAGTCTGGTGTATCTCAGATTGCACCTTTCACCAGTAAGATGTCCCAAGTGCTTAATACCATCAAATCCGAAAAGGATGAACTTGCTTTCATCGTCAAAGAGGACCTTGCTCCACTCGTTCGATGTCCAGTGCAGGTGGCCGTGAGCAGACTTTACTTTTGCTTTTCGATTCTTCCTTTGAGCTGATCCACGATTTCCAAGCTGGGCGCCTTCCAATCAACCATGCTGCAATAAACAGCAGTCCGTCTTCTGATATTCAATCCATCACTGATATTGGTCTTAGCCGCGAAGTCGACGCTGATAAAGTGGGATCGGCTTTTGTCAGTTGAGCTTGTCCTGACTACTGAACGATGCACTTATCCTTGGTCGCGGCCTGCCCATTCTCGATACCGTGTTCCTCTCGCGGAAAAAAGTGAGAATAGATGACACTGTACGTTCAGGGATCTCCAACATTCTCGCAATCGTTGCATCTCTCATGCCTGCTTTCTTCATGTATCCACTACAGTTTTACATGTGGCTTCCGAAGTTCAGCCTTCTTAACCATTGAGGTAGATCGTAGTGTAGAAAAAATGTTTAAAATCGCAAAATAGCACACAATAACATATCGACACGTGAGCGGAAATCAGTGGTTGCAAAAATATCGATCATCGATCACGTGCTAGGCGCTGCGCGGGGCTGTGGTTTGTGCGATTTGCTCGTTGTATTGGACGACAAATCAAAATCTGAAGTTAATCGTTCAAACGATAGAAGAGCAATTTATGAAAGAACGTTTCGGCGAGTACTCCTGAAAGCTACCGTATGCTAGCCACAGCTAGTAAGACAGAGCTTAATATTATAGGCTTATGGGAGATAGCACTATTTTGAATACAAAAATCCAAACCCACTTTGCTATATTTTGAACATTTTTCTCGTATATTTTTGCATCCGGTTTGGTCTTCTTACTTGCTCGGTATTCCTACAAATACAGTGGACGATTATTGGATTCTATAGTTTATTCTTTAGAACATTTGAACTGACATCCGATAGTTCCCACTCATAAGGGCTTGTGAGACTGACGTTGATCCGATTCAAGTACTTGATAAGCTGGAAGCGCAAATCGGCCGCCTAAAGAAGTCGAGCCTTCCACCACTTCGTTAATCTGTGTTTCATGAATTCTTTCGAGGACTCCGGATTTTCATCCCACCTATTGTTATTCTGTGCAATTTTATGAGATGACAACGGTTTTTGCTTTAATTTCACGTGTTTTCTAGTCTCTGTGTTGTGCAATCAAAAAAATCATACCCTGTAATTATGTTTATTCATGATCGCACAAATTGTACGCACTTCGGGCGGGACATTTGACAACCCACCTCCTCGACAATCTAGAATGGAACATGTTTAGTGATCAAAACTCCTATTCATAAAGGTGCGGATCTCTGCAGAGTACACTTAAGGAACATGTTGCACAGTTGCGATAATCTAGAAGGGGCCGTGATCTGCTGATTTTGATGATTAGCCTTACAATAAAAACAATGGTCTTCGTTTCTCTCAGTGAAAGTTGTGAACCTTCAAAGAAGAAAATCCACTAGTAGCGGGAGCATAAAGCATCAAAGTGTTCGCTATTTTTCATTTTCATACGTACTTGATATGGCTGAAGCAAATAAAAGAAGCTTTCTCTCTTCTATAGTCTCGCTACTCATGTTCTTGAATTTATTCCATGGCAGTGAGGGCCGATCAAATAAGTCTACCATTGTAAAAAACCTTAAAGGCAAGGAGTGTACAATCGAACACATATAATCATTTCTCATGTTGGTATCATCACACCTGCTCGTCCACGAGCATAGTTTACCCTACATTCATTTCTACTGTTCCCAGCTCATTTTTCACTTGCCTTCCACCATCGCGGTCAGTAGTTCAGGACAAGTAAAAAGTGAGTCGTGTGTATTATATATGAAGGGAAAATCGTTCTTATGAAACATCACCATCAGATGTGGTGATACCAATCAGCAATGAGTAGTCGTGCATGTTTGTTGTACCTATCATACCCAGTAAATGAACTTACCAACATTCCAACTCCATATAAATCGAGTTTCTAGAAGCGAAAGCTCTCGGAGCATATTGCGTTTTGCGATTCCTATAAATAAAAAGCACACTCTCGATTACATACCTACGATTTCGGCAGCATTTATTCACTGCGCAGCGTTTGATTCGATGAAGCATTGTTGTTTATCGTTTCTATTGGATTCATATACGAGTTTCCTCGGACTTTTGGAAATATATGACTGCTCCCATAGCTCTATGAGCGCTTTCATCTCATATTTTGAGCGACGGACCAGAGGTATGCTCTCTTGAGATTTGATGGAGTTTAGACTCGTAGGATGCCGCACGCGGCAGAATTCGATGAGACAAATAGACGTTCACTGCGTTCTTTCGTAATTATTCCGTCGTACGGCAAACTGCCAGCTGTCGTGCTGCGGCACTATGGCTTCTAATTGTAAGCTCATGCCCTCTAAGTGAGTAGCGTGAATCAATCAAATATGACCTTGCGTTCCTACCTTTGGTAGTTTTCTTCAATGCAGCTTGAAAAACGAAAAACTAAACTATGCGCTATCTCGGTAACGGGCTCAGGCATCGACAATACCTTTTTGTACAAGGTGAAAACGTCGAGTTTGGTGTAAGTAAGATTTCAAGGCTACCGCAGTTGTATCGAAGGGCAAACTTCGATTTGCCTTGCAGAGATATCCGAGTGTTGAGAGGCGTAGACTCAACCCTTTCGTTATGTCTGGTATTACAATTTGAATTCCCACAGTTGAAGGCCAAAATGCATAAAGGGATTTTTGAGGTGATATTGTTTTGTTTTTCACTATTCTCGGCTTTGTACCCTAAATGATGGAGGACGTTTCAGCCTATCGATGCATGGGAGACGATTGACCAGTAATAGCGTCACACTGGGTAGGCTACTTCGCAGTGTATTTGTAGTTGCACACAGTCTTAGCCCGAGGCCTGAGACTGTGTGCAACTACAATTGCCTCACAGACCACTGTGGCTGTGACTGAGACGAGGGGAAAACCCTGGCGAAAGCAAGGTCTCACGGTTACACAGTAGAAAGAAAGGCTTTTGCCCAATAGAGAGGAATTCCATACAGACACTCAGCTTCGTGTAATCGTATTTATTAGATTGTGGGTAAGGTTTTCTAAAATTTGAGCGATTAAAATATTTATCCGCTGAAATGTTTATTGGCTCACCATGTAGGACTATTGCTGAATGTCGTGATATGTCCGAAGCCAACCAGATACAATAAATTCCTTCTATGCTCAGTACCAATACAGAAATGAGATGGCTCGACTCGTGTATGAAGCATTCCTATTGAATGTAGCATTGATATAGCATCCAGCGCTTGTAAAGATAGTCGAGCAGCTGTTGGAGAGCTGAAAGGAAGTTTGAAAGACGACTCCGAAGTTCAACCTTTTTCCCACTGTGCAATTAGAATTAATGAAATACAAGGGTTTTAAAAACAGGTAAAGTAGTGAGTTGAACGACATTATGGCGGAGAAAGTGATGGGTAAGGGAAATTCGAACGAGACATCAGTTGTGTACAACATACATTCAATGTCGGCTGCAGCAGACAAAGAATTTATAAATTTGTTTTCTATTATCTAACACCGTATGTCGGGGCGTGGGACAATCAGCACTTTGATTTGTCAACATATGTCCTCCAGTGTGAGTGATGCAGCCCCAACAGGACCCTTCGGACACGACCTCCCCTGAATGTGTTATATGGTGGTGACGATCTTTGAGATGGAATTTGGGCCGCTCTCGATTCGATAATGACCTAGGTGCTACCCTGAGAGGCCAGAGATTTATCCTTGGACGAAGTTACAGCAACCATTACCATCGTAGACTGTGCGCTCAACTACTGGCTTGGCTGTGGACTACAGAATCAGTTCTGATTCAGAAATGGAACAAAAAGATTATTTATAAGCTAGCACTGAATCACGGTCCTTCATCAGCTGTAAACCCTCGTTATGCCCATCGAAGTAACAAATGACTCACGAGAATTCTGACTTCATCTCATCTCTTAATTGGTCAAGGTTAGGCCCCAGCAAAGGCACTATCATGAACTTGTACTTCTTAGAATATCCGAAGTCACAAATAGGCAGTAAGTGATCGCTGTCGCGGACCTGATATAAAAGTTATCATGAAGTAGAAAGTACACATTCATCTTGTGCATAGTACCTGATCCCGCCATCGCTTTTGGAACTCAACAAGAAACCGGATCTCATTCTGAAATGGTCTCTTCTTCTAGCGAACAACAAGCTTACCGCAAAAATCAACAAGATAGGACTCACAGCAAGTGCGAAAATTGCTTTTCCTGATTTAATGTCCTCATTTTCCGCCTTCATTGCCATTTTCACGAATGAACCCTTTCCCACTAGTTTATTTACCAAGTATACTGTGCTGGATGTTCCGACCACTATAGACTTCACAACTTCGTAACTAAACGAGTAAGTATCGCGACGCTGTATCTTCAAGTGGAGTATATATTTCTGTAAATTCAAAGAATTTTTTATTTTTGCTTGAAGATTGATTATTCATCTTCCCGCACTTATCAATGGCCTAGTCTGCCCTAATCATGGACGAAAGGAGAACATGCGGTTTGTAGCACTCATGCTCATCGGGCGCAGACGTTTATGCTGTAATTATTAGGTTGAGTCATATGTGCTCGGACAATGCCGAAGTGATGACTTCTAGAGATCTTAACTCGGGAAAGATGTGACGAAAATGGACGCGAGGGACAACATTAGATAGAGAATAAAAAGCTCTTCCGAATGCGTACTAACAACACACCTGTCCATCTCCTGCGTTCGAGCGTGAGGAGAGGAAGTGCCATGTCGGCGCGAAAATCCCTGTCATACTGCTTCAAAGCATGAGGCACACATCGACCGAGCTTTCGCACCTTGCCGATTGACTTCGATCCACGAATAATTGTGGAATGACTCCTCAAGGGTGACTGCCAGTTCACGAGTAGTTTGATACGGATCGGCCTCCACCTGGCTCCGCAGCACCTCCAAATCCAACTCCATTGAGCGTCCCGGACGGTCTTCATTTTCGATGGAATGGTCGTCCGACGTGAACTTCGTGTGCCACTTGTGAATTGTGCTTCTAGCAAAAGCACCCTTTTGTAAACTTTCTTGATACGATCGATCTCCGCGGGTTCTTGGCCAGATAAAAAAAGCAATAGGATAGTGTTGCGGAGGTGAATTTGCGACGACATGAAATCATGGGGCATGATTGCAGAAAAGGAGACAGGTGTGTTCTTCAGTATGCATTGGAAGAGCTTTTCATACTCTATCTAACAATGCCACGCGCGTCCATTTTCGTCTCTTCTTTCCCGAGTTATGATCTCTAGAAGCCATCGCTATCATTTTGTTCTAGGACTTATGACTCAACCTAATACATCATCGCATCGTGTGATATCTCCGATAGTGACCAATAAAATGTGGTAAAGTTAAAACTAATTGCCGCGGTAGTAACACGAATAGAGAAAAACCTTCGGCATGTTAAGAATCTTTGTATCTAACGTTCTATAAAGTACAACAATAAAATGTCGAAAAATTCCGATTACTCCCATGCACAGTTGATGAGGTTCATGTCATGCTCCTGTCTATTTAGAAACATCTACAAACGGCTTGCAGATTATTGCTGGAGCTGCTGGCTGAATGTTCAATGTGTGCTGACGTAGCGTAACAAAAAATGGCACAGCTCAACATGCAAAGCAAACAATTAATAAATCTCTTTCAACGAAGGACTGATTTGAGTCTACTGATTGGAGTGAAGATTTCCAACATGTGCTTATTAAGAATCGGAGTGCGGAAACCAGTTCCTGCCTTGTCAACCTGCCTAAGCATTTTTATGCCTGCACATCTAAGAGTTTATAATCGCTCATCGATCTAGCTCATTCAGCTAGTGAGCATATACGGCAAAACATAAGGATGGAGCAACAGATATTCTTCGGAAAGACGGAAGTGGCTCTGGAGTACTTCTGACGAAGAGAAGCAGTCAAAAGAGCTTAAGAATCCGCAGCTTTTAAACGGTATAATAAGGCTGGGATTTCCCAATAAACTCAACCCTCTTTGCCAGAGCGGTTCACCGTCTCCAGAAAGCGTTTACCAAAATACAGATACATGAAGCGGAAGTACAGCTAGGGCAGTGTTTCATAAAAGTTCTTGTTATACCGACAACTTCAGTCCAGCTGATTTATGGTGGCGATGTACTCAAGCAGCAAAGATGTCGGTCAACAGAAGAGCAGTGGCTAGTTTAAAGTTTATATCAAGTCTACAATGCTTCCCCGTCCAGATACCGGCAGAATGAGCTTTTCTGAATTTTATCTATTCTTTGACGTAAACCTCTGTTGAATCTGCTTGCCTTGCTCTCTTTTTGCTTTTCACGATAATTTTTTCTTCTTGTTCCTCCGGTAATTTTACATTTTCCTTGTTTTCTTTTGACGATAACCCTGATCTGGATTTTGCCTTCTGAAAAACTGTTAGCGTGACAAGGAAACAAACAACACAAAATACACCGTAAATAGCATGTGCTGATTGCTAATGTATGCAATTTTTCCAGATCATCCTCTAGAGGGTGCGAGTGGCTCTACTTAAAAGCACTGTTCACGAAAAAATGGTTTCGGAGATTTGCACGTGGTTTGAATTCGACGCCCCCTCTGATACCATTTGTGCAGGAATGAGGTCGGAAGTGGTCTGGATAGGGCACAATAAAGGGCCGGAGAGTGAGCCACGGTCGCCCTCCGCCCTTCGCTAGGCTGACTACGGAATCTAATTGCCGTTTACCACTTTCGCATTGGAGCGAAGTTGGTGAAAAAACGATAAGGTGATTCGCAAATTGAAAGAGTCTGGCAGTCAGATTGTCAGGCAAATTGGGTGTGGTGACTGTTATTGCAGTCATTGCGTCGCCTTCGTGCACTCGCCCGAACATTCCCTTAACCGCCGTTCTTCCAATGTGAAACTCGTCCAACCCCCCTTTCCAGCTCTATCTTGACCCTTTCTATTTCTTTTTGTTCATCGTTTTTTTGCGCTTTTTTCGTTGTTATCGCTTTATTCTAGAGTAGTTCTATGAATTCCCGTCAAAAAAGGGTACCTTAAATTTATCGTAAACGGTGCCTTTAACAAGCTTCCTGGAAATTCAGCCAATTTCTACGTCTGCTCCGACATCGCTGCTTTGACTCACCCCCTTAATTAAGGCAAATCTTCCACCACTCATACCTCAGCCCTCAAAGTCTTTTCGGTACCTTCCAAAATAAGTAACTACCCTTCCACCTTTGAATACATTCTTTTCGCATTAGTGCTGTTCAAAACTTTTTCGGGAGACCAATAGAGAAGCACTGAGAGGACAGAAAAAAATTAACAGGCAGGCTCGTCAACGGAGATAAACGTGAAAAGGAGTCTAGAAGAGAGCAAACGCACTTTTTTTATCAATTGTTTCCAAAAAGCGTGCGTGAATGCAATCTCCCCCTTCTTCCCTTCTTCTTCNCCCCCCCCCCCCCCCCCAGTTGCAGGGTCCGCTGTACGCGTGAGTTGGGCTACTCAACCCCGGCTAATCACGATAGCAGTGGATCAATTAAGAGAAGCATGCTACACTGACTATTAACCAATAGACTGGTTCCAACTACTTCGAGATCATGTCGACCGCAATACCACGAAGTTATGGGAGCGGTTACTCAACTCACGACTGAAGGAGCTGCTCTCCAATCTCACAGGAGCAGTTCGGCTTCCTGCTTCAAACTTCTACAATGGAGGTATAGAATATACAAAGTTTTACAATCTTCATAGCTAGACAAATATTGGAGAAGGATCGGAAAAAGCGTAAATCCTGCTTCCCTGTCATCCTCCTTCTGGAGGGCCTTTCGACAGCCTTCCGCAAGCAGTCCTTTGGAGAGCGCTCCGAGAACGGAACGCCAGGGAACCCTCCACCTCACTGGTCGAATATATGCACGATCCGTCTTAAACATCTGTGCGCTTTCCTTTCGCTCTGACCAAGGCAATAGACGATAGGGGTACAGTAGCGGTCGGCGCTGATCCCTTTCCTCTTCCATCTGTTTGCAGTAGAAGTTAGCACCAAAAAACTCCTAGATGGGTCACTAGTAATCATCATCTACGCTCATCGCTCTGATAGCGCAAGAGCATGAAGGATTTCCGGGGCAAGTTGCAGAAAGGTAGGAAGTGTTGGCGGAGAATGGGCTCCGATTGAACGTGGTGAAGAAAACTAAAGGGACTTGGAAAAGGGAAAAGGGTACTGCATAGGGAAAGGAGACGGATACCTGGAGGGTGGCCTGGCCACTGATGGCAGCATAGCCTGGCTGTAGTTGTGTATTATCTCTACAAAACATGACGCACCTGTGGGGGCGTCTCAGAAACCGGATGTCGTGGATAACTACAACAAAATGAAGGAATTCGTCGACCTGTTCGATCAGATGGCATTATACACGCCATTTATGCGCAGAACCATGGAGTGGTACAAGCTGATTTTCCCACCTGATTTTACAAACAGCTGCAGTAAACGCTTGGAAGTTGTACAAAGATGTGGTGAAGAATACCAGGCTAAATGACTGAATGAATCACCATGCGACATGTGTATGAGGTGCCGAAAGGCTTGAAAGGAATCAACAGGATGTGTGGAGCGTTACGCAGTCATGGTCAGAGACCATGGCAGCGGCTATGGCACCGGAAAAACAAAAAGGGCCATAGTGCGTTGCAGTAGATGCAGAAAATTCTTCTGCAAAGAACACGTCTTGTCACGTAAAACCTAATTCCTTGAAGTTAATGTACCTTATTATTGATAACTTATGACTGTTTCTATGATTTATGCGTTTGTTCTCAAATAGAAGTCAAAGTTCAACTATAACTGAAACTTTTACAGGGCTTGGAATATCTTTGGTGGACTAAACCATATTTGTTACAATCATGAACCACGCTTTTTGTAGAATATTCAATGTTTTGTCTATTGAATGAACACAAAAAGTTCAAAAAGTCGCGATCTCGCAAAAAGAGTGGTG